GGGTTTATATATATATATGTATGTATATACACATTCCTAATTTTAGATCGTAACTCTTAATCATTTAGTTAGATGGTTGTTAGTAAGTAGCTCCAGGTGGTATGGACAAGGGAGATATGCACTTGGGGCTACTTCACAGCTGGGCAGTAGACTTGGCTTGGGGCTACTTCACAGCTGGGCAGTAGACTTGGGGGTGGGCACTCTGAGGCTGGGAAGAATGCCCGTGGATTTCTGGTGATTTTTGTAGAGGGAAACTCCTAAGTCACAGTAGAAGATCAGGGGTAATTTTGACTGTATTTTCTGCAACCAACTTGTTACTTTTGGTTATAGATCTTTCTCCAACTCTCCAAGTCCCTGCAATAGACCTGCAGAAAGATTTATGTCATCACCTCACAACTCTGGGAGCCAAAACAATTACTCAGAAGATATAAGTTTTTTAATAAGACCGTCAGCTGTTACTTGAGGTGCAAAGATTAAATATCAAGAGCAGTTGTTGTCCTTGCAAGGAATAACTGACCCTGTGTTTAGGAAACAAATTTCTCCTTGCTTCACTACCAGCTCCTATGCTAGATGGAGGCCATAGCAGTACAGCCTTCCCTGCAAGGTAGTTGTGATCAAGGCTTTTCTGGGCCACTTTTTTTTTTTTAAGATTTTATTTATTTATGCATACAACAACTGGGGTACAGGTCAGAGGTGTGGGGTTGGGGTGAGAGGAGTCACTAGAGACGGAGCGGAGAGCTGAACAGGCAGTGACTGAAACACACTGCTGAGGGGAGCAGCAGGTGAAACAGGAGAGGTCTGCTGCGCCATGTGGGTCAGGTCCCTAGGTTGAACTGTTGCAGGAGTGGCTGGGGATAGCTTCACATTGCTGTGCTTTACCCCCTTGCACCACCAGGGAGGCACCTCCTATGCACCATTCTTAATGAGCATTCAAGGCAATTACTCTTTAGCTAGAGGCAAGAAAACAGAGGTAAGATAGTACATTTTACTTAAATGGAATGTAGCATGTTGGAGGATAGATTAGAATTAATGCAAAAGGGTTCTTGTTTTTAATCATTAAAATTATGGAATATAGAAGCGTAAGTGTATAACTTAATAAATTAGTAAAGCAAACATATAATCACCCTCCAAATCAAGAACTAAAGCATCACCATCTCTCAAGATATTCCTCCCCAATCAGCTCCCCTCCTCTTCCCTTAAGAAGTTGCCCTGGCCCTCCCTGGTGGCGCAGCGGGTTAAAGCACAGAACTGAGAAGCTAAAGCCGCTTTCGCATGAGTTCGATTCCCGCCTGCCCCGGAAGTGACCACATGGCGTGGCAGACCTCTCCTGACCCGCCTGCTGCTCCCCTCAGCAGTGTACTTCGTCGATCTGCCTGTTCTGTTCCCCACTCTGTCTCTGGTGAAGCCTCTCGCCTGTACCCCAGTTCTGTATGCACAAATAAATAAATAATTCTTACTGTAATCCTTAACTATAATTTTGCTGGGTTTGGGGCTTTTTGTAAGTAGAGATACACCTTGTTTATATGGCTTCTTGCACTCAATACCATGTTAAATAACTACCCACCTGTTTATGCGGTTATGGTTCTTTCACTGTTGCTGAGTAATACTCCGACAGAGACATACACACCGTTCATTTCTACTTAGTAGAGGTCATGGACAAGAATCAGGTGTAGGCAGGAATGAAGGAATTCACTGGAGATTGAGTGGAGAACAGAATAGGCAGATTTATTAAGTGAGGGCCCCGAGGCTGTCCTTATACTCCAGGCATCATTGACTGTGGAGTGACTAGATTGGGGTGTGTCCCGACTGATGATCTGAATTAACATAAAGGATCATCAGCTTAATTTCCAGCTTCCCAGGGCAGTCCCACCTACTCCCTTTATCCTGTTGGGCAAGGAATGGAAGCTTGGGTTTATAAATTTAGCAATGATACCACTACAGTAGGTATTTGGGTTGTTTCCACTTTTGAAACTTAAGAATAATATCCAGGTTTGAGCATGGAGTTGCTGAACTGTCACTGTATATTCATGCCTTTCCTAGATAAGGAGAAACTGGTTTTCTTTGATGACTGGGAGCTGCTCTATGCTTGTTCCTACCTGGTTTGATCTCTTTGGTGAATGGACAGTAACTCACTGTCCCAGATGAGTTTGAGCACTATTTTATATGTTTACTGATATATTTTTTAATGATTTATTTATTTATGCATAAAGAACTAGGGTACCTCAGTTCTGTGTGGGAGTGAGAGGCACACAGAACTGGGGACCATAACAGACTGGGGACCATAACAGGCAGATCGACGAAGTACATTGCTGAGGGGAGCAGCAGAAGAGACAGGAGAGGTCTGCGGTGCCATGTGGGTCAGCTGGTGTTTTAGTGGCTGCGGATAGCTTCATAGTGCTGCGCTTTAACCTGTTGCACCATCAGGGAGAGCCTCTCAACTGATATGTTAAAATTTCCTCTTGGGAAGTTCCATGCTCTGTTTTGCCCACTTTTTTTCTACTAAATGGTTTATTTTCAGTAAACTAACCAACTCTCTGAAGGTCATTCTGTAGGGTCACTATGTTTCCTGTGCTGAGGAACTTTTACTTTACAGCTTTTTTTTTTTTTTTTTAAATCTATTGTAGGTATGTAGATCTGGATTCTGGACCATCAGTTTTTTTTTTTTTTTAAAGATTTATTTATTTGTGCATACAGAATTGGGATACAGGCCAGAGGCTCGGGGGCGGCGAGAGGCTTCACCAGAGACAGAGCGGGGAGCAGAACAGGCAGATCGACGAAGTACACTGCTGAGGGGAGCAGCGGGCGGGTCAGGAGAGGTCTGCCACGCCATGTGGTCACCTCCGGGGCAGGCGGGAATCGAACTCATGCGGAAGAGGCTTTTGATTTTCAGTGCTGTGCTTTAACCCGCTGCGCCACCAGGGAGGGCCACTTTACAGCTTTTAAGGCGTGTGTGTGTGTGTGTGGATATGTATATATGTGTGGATATATATGTGTGTATATGTTAATATATATAGATATATAAATATATCTATATATATAAAACATTGTGATGATTGAAGCGCATACTGCCTCCCGGGGCTGTTATTCGTGGCATGTGTAGCACCTAGTAGGTGCTTAGTAAAGTTCTGTGAAATAACTGAATGAGGCATTTTTCAGAATATGGTGAAAGTGTTCTAGTAGTGAGGAAGTGTTGAGTAACAGAGAAGCACAAAATAAGGAAGCAAACATTGCATTCATACCCCAACCCAGGGTAGGACAAAGTTTCTCCTAAGAGGTAAAATTTGAAACAAATCTTGAAAGACTATTTACTAGAAGCAGTGGAGGAAGTGCTGTGTAGGCCACAGAATAGATTGTGCAAAGGCACTGAGGGAGAAAGAGTACAATCTACACTAGAGACACGAAAGTTGGGGTGACTGTGTGAATAGAATGAGAGGGCAATGAAGAAGGAAAGAGGCGTCTGTTGGAGATAATGCTGTAGTGTGAAGCTTATAAGCAGTGGAAATACAAACAGGTTAAACGGGAAATTATTTCTCACTAGTAAGGCATAAAGGGAGCTGTTGAGCACTGAAACTGGTCTGTAGAATCTTTTCCTAGAGAGCCTAAACAAAATGGAACAAAAACATATGTTTGTCAGGGAACTTTTTTTTCTCTCTAGACAACAGAATTTATTTTGGAAAGCAGTGTTGTAACCTACGCAAGTGCAGAGTGGTAGAGAGTGAGCTTTTCACTTACCAGCCCTGGAATTTAGCAGCAGTGTGACGCTGGACCAGCCTCCGTTTCCACATCTGTAACTTGGAAGTAACACTGGTCTGGATTAAGGACATAAAATTGGCACTTCAAGGGGTTAAAGGGACTAAATCCCTGCTCAGATGGATGAGTGGTAGGTGACCTTGGGATGTATTATGATGTAAAATCTAAATTTGCTTACTTGCTCTTACATTATCTTGCTCCTTTTTTACTGTTATCCCCTCCCTAGAATACTCTAGGAATATGAATCAATAACCCACCACCTGGGGCGAAGGGGGGGCCATTTAAAGGTGTGCTCTCTCCAGGTCCTCCCTGCTGGTGCAGAGGCTCAAGTGCAGCACTATGAAGCAAACCACAGCCACTGCAACAGGTGTTCCACCGGGCCAGGGGGGTGACTCACAGGGTCATAGGGTGTGGCAGACCTCTCCTGGAGCCTGCTGCCCCCACTTTGTTTCTAGTGAATCCTCTCACCCCCCCCAACCCTCCGCATCTGGGCCTGTACCCATAATTTTTTATGCATAATTTTTTTATTATATTAGTTTATTTTTACATGTTTTTGTGCATTTTTCCGTCTCAGTTGCAATCCCCTCGGGTTTCCCATCACATGCATAAATTCTTTTAAAGTCTGCTCTTCCCTCCTCACCCCCTCCCACTTCTAAGACTCTTGGTCAGGTTATTGTGGCCCTAGGAGAGGAGGACAAGCTAGTGCCCTCCAGCTCTTCTTCCAGTGCTAGGCTTCTAGAGTGTTTTTGTTTTCTTTAATGAAATGTTACAGATTTACCACTCGTTTGCAAATGTAATAAGTGCTGGAGTACAGCTTCACTCGGGCTTCCCTTCCCACTACCAAATCCCAGTGCCTTTCTCCACCACAGGGGCCTTTGAAGTCTCCCTTCCCTCCCTCTCTACCTCCTTATTTTTGACAGCCCAAGATTGCTCTTTGTTTTCCTTTTTGCTTTATTCTGTGTGTCCTGGAGAGGGCCATGTGAGGAAAAGTCTTACAGCTCTTCTCCTAAAGAAAGTATCTAGCCCAGTTCCCTCCCAAGGCGAGGATCAGATTTGTGATCCGCGCGAACCCCGGGCAGCTGGGGCTGGTTTGCACAAACCCCACCTCTCGGCCTAACGTTCAGAACGGGAAGTGTTTCTGAGGAAACGAAAGTGAAATTGAGCTGGAGCCATTTCTACGGCGCGGCTCGCCCTGCTGACGGTAGCTTTTCCAGTCCGGTCTCCAGAGGCGCCCCCAGCGCGGGGAGGCAGCCGCAGAGCGGTCCGGGAGGAGCCCACCCACGAAGGGCACCCCTCCCCGCAGCGGGTGGAGGGTCGCGCGTCCGCGGGCGGGAGGACATGAGTAGGCAGCGCCATGGACCCGAGGCAGGTAAGTGGGCTGGGGTCCCAGCGCCGCAGCGACCCACCACTTGCTCACTTGGGATTCACTTTATGGCTCACTTGTGGCGTGTGTCCCTGAAATGCGCGGGGTGGAGTGGGGTGTGTGTGTTTACCAAGCACAAGGGCTATGCTCCGGACTCTCATGCTGATTAGCTGCTGTGTTTGAGCACAGGGTTAAAGAAGGCTTTTCGGGGGAAATGCCCTGCTCTGAGAAGCGAGACTTGAGCCCGAATGAGGACGACTCCTCCCTCTCCGCTGGGACCCGGTTGCTGTCGCTCGCTTTTCCCCTTTCACCCCACTTGCACCGCATGCGTTAGCGTCTTGTTAGGAGCCGTCCTTCCCTTGTCTGAAAGCCTGGACGTGAAAGAGGCCGTCTTAACCGTTATGAGAAAGTTCACAACCTCCAGCAGAAACTTGAATCTTTATTGATAAAAAATGTCCTTAAACAGGCGATAGGGTAAACAAAGAGGGGTACGTCCGAATAATGGAATACTTCTTTAAAAAAAAAAAAGCTGCTAATCCAACAGCTAGACCCAAAAGATCACTCCAGAAAAATAAATACTAGATGGACAGAAAACAGACTGGTGATTACCAGGAGTGCTAGGTGTGGGGAAGGAGCTGACTGCAAAGTCTGAATAAATTTGGAGGGAATGAAATGTTCTGTCTCTGTTGTGGTGATAGTTTTAAGACTATGTATGCCCTGGCTCTAGCTAAAACTCATAGAATTATACACTGGGAGGGTAAATTTTACTGCTTGTAAATTACACAACAGTTTGAAAAATATACACATGTGTATATAAATATGTGTATATAGTCTACAATTTTGTATATTTAATTCATACATACAAATATATATTTAAATATCTACATATACACTTTATAAGGGTTGTATATGTGTGTGTACATACCTCCCTTGAAAGGATCAGAGGCACCTAACTTGAAGGAAAGGCTTACTTCACTCTTACTTATTACCCTGAGGACCCCTTGTGGGAAAGAGGGAGGCTCATCTCTTGGTCCAAATATATGATACTAGCTGAAAGTGAACTTTCCCCAGGCCCTGAAGGTGGAATGAGGGTTGAAAGGCCTGTTACATAGCTTGCATAGTAAATAGACGCATAGGTGAAAACCCCACAATCAGGCAACTGATTTCTTACTGAGGTTGCCCTGTAACAAAGCCATGAACAAGGTTCCTAAAGTCCTCAACTTGCCCAGGGCCTATTTACTATACAAACTATGTAACAGGGCTTTCAACCTTCAGGGTCTGGAGAAAGTTCACTTTCATCTAGTCTCATACATTTGGACCAAGAGATGAGCTTCCCTCTTTCCCACACGGGGTCCACAGAGTAGTAAATAAGAGTGAAATAAGCCTTTCCTTCAGTCAAGGTGCCCCTGATCCTTTCCAGGAAGGTAGGGAATATCAGAAACACAGACCTGTGGGTAAAGATACAGACTGGGCCCTCCCTTGTGGCGCAGCGGGTTAAAGCACAGCACTAAGAGGCTGAGGCCACTTCAGCATGAGTTCGATCCCCCGCCTGCCCCAGAGGTGATCCACATGGCGTGGCAGACCTCTCCTGGCCTGCCTGCAATGTACTTTGTCAATCTGCCTGTTCTGCTCCTCACTCTGACTCTGGTGAAGCCTCTCACCGCCCCTGCACCTTTGGCTTGTACCCCAGTTCTGTATGCACAAATGAATAAATTAAAAAAAAAAAAAGATACATAGACTGGGCCCATTGTGAGATTCCATCCAGTTATCCAAAATCAGCAGCAAACAGGCCAGTCCACCTCCACCAAGGGGTGAGTCCCCTCCCCAAGAGAAAAGGACTAAATCAGGGCAGTCTCTGCACTGACTCAGGGCAGCGGTCCTCTGCTCACCTGTGCCTATGCAGGTGCTTCTTTCCACCCGCTCTCTCCCTCCGCAGGGCAATAGCCTCCTTGCTGCCGGTGACCTGTACCTGCGGGACTTCTCTGCACTGACCTCCCTCTGCGGAGGCCGCTCTCCTGAGGCGCCTGCCTGCGACCATGCAGGCCTCTCTCAGCAAACCTGTCCCTTTCCGGCAGCTTTTCCTGCCTGCTTGTGCCTATGCAAATACCCTTTACGCCTCTGTCTTTTTCCCTTACAAACCTGCTCTTTAAATATAACTGAGTCTCTGTCTTTTGGAGAAACTTGCTTGGGAACTTGCCACAGGCTGCTGACAGGGGAGATCTGGTGAAACATTTCCCAGAGTGAACCTGAACTTCAAAACATGACATCAGCACCAGTTCTGCTGAACAGGAATCCCAATAGCCCACTAAAAGTCTTCGAAAAGCCAAGAACCGCCCCCCCTTCCAAGGCCCACAGGTCTGGTTATATACCACATGTCTGGTAATATACCAAGCCCGGCTGCTTAACTCCATCCTCAGATGCCAGCAATCCTCCCTTGAGTGATGATGACATTATGGGATTAGTAGTTCTTGGTGTCTTGGATCTTTTTGGTCTGGAGTGGGGATGGAGTCCATAAAATCTGTTTCTGGAATTCGTTCAGGGCATCTTTTTCTCCCAACAGGTTGGTGTCCCATGCTCACCCCCATTCAGTGGCTCTCAGAGTACTGTTCTCAAGTGGCTGTTTGGTTTGACTTGGCTGTTAGGGGCTTGAAGGGGGTGTGAAGAAAATAATTTCCATTTGATCTTGCCCTAAAATAAGTATTATTAACAAATTCATGCATCTATTCTTCTTTGTGTGTTCTTGCATGTACATGTTTGTGGCATTTCTTCTTTTGTTTCTAAAAGTTATAGTGTATGTGTTACTCTGCAAGTTGTGTTTTGTGTGTTTAACTTATCATGTGTAAATTTTTTTCCAGATGAATATAAATAGAACCTAACACTTTTTTAAAAATATGAATACTGTTCCATAACATCAATATGTCATAATTTATTCGCCTTTTCTTCTGTAGACTGATACTGAAATATCTTGCAGATTTTAGATTTCGGTCAAGGGTGGCAGTTTAAGTCTAGAAAGTATTTAGTTAGGAACTGGCTTCAGCTGCTTTGAAACAAAAGTATTGTATCCACATGCTTGAAGAGCTCATGAGAAATCCTCCTAATTCAGGTCTGTGAGCCAGGCACTTACTCCCTTGTGCACAGCTCAGCCCCCAGCAGCATATTGGGGATGGGGCTGTGTGCAGCAAGAGAGAGAGGAGTGTGAGTGTGGGGTTATCTTGTTCCTGTAAGCATATCTTCAACAAATGCTGGTTCAGGCTCATCTGCATACCAGGTGTTGTTTTAGGTGCTGGGAATGCAAAGATAACTAAAGCATTATCCTTGCCCTCCAATAGTACACCCTTGAGTTGATTGTGACCCTCTTTCCCCATCCATACTATATAGGGGGTATTAGGAGTAAAGAGTTGAGTATAATTTCTAGAGTGCCTCGTATTGTGAATAATCTTTCAGATACACTACCATCTATGTATTCCATTAAAAAAAAAATCAGTGGCAGTGATAAAAGGTCAAGAAAGTGGTGTAACAGGTGCCGTGCTGAGTGGGGGACTTCAAGGAGAGGAAAACCCTGTGGGATGGGAGGAGAGTCAGAAGTGTCCCAAAGAAGGTGACAGCTAAGGAGTTCTGTGAGGAAAGGTCAGCACTGAGCAGGAGCGGGAGAAGCAGCCCTGTGCAATTGAGACTGAAAGAGTGATGGAAAGATTAAAGGCTCTTATAGCCCAGGGCAGAAGTCATGAGGGGCTGGACTGGGAAAAGGCACAGTTAAGAGGCAAGACAGGTGATAAACAGGATAGGCCTTGGCCGCTAAGAGAGTGGGAGGCAGGAAAGGAAGGAAGGCTGTGAGCATGACTCAGGTGTCTATCCTTAATAACTGAGAGGAAGAACGGCGATGTTAATAAGCACGGCAGGAGAAGGTTGCTCTAAGGGGTAAGATTAATTTAGTTTGCAGTATGTGGTGTGTGAAGTAATGACAGATATCTGGAAAGACAGGTCAGGTATTTGGATATTAAGTTTTGAGCTTTAGCTCCGAGTGTTGGCTAGAGATAAAATTTGAATGTTGTTTCTTAAGAGGCAAGTTCAGGTTGGTTGGGGAGTGATTGAAATCAACTTGGGAAGGAAGAAGTGGCCCATAGATAGAACCTTAGGGGCCAAGGGTGGAAGCAGAGACAGAAGGAAAAAGAGAGTTGAGTGGCGACCTCTGGTGCTGTGTCACCAAACCCTGAGTGGAGAATTTCTAAAGAGAGTGTTGGCACAGCAGGCCTCTCTTGTCCTGCCCGCTGCTCCCCTCAGCAGTAGATTTCAGTAGATCCACTGGCTTTACTCCCCACTTTGTCTCTGGTGAATCCTCTTAGTCCCCACACCCTGGCAGGCATCCCAGTTCTTCTGTGCAAAAATAATAAATCTTTTTTAAAAATAGAGCACAATCCACAGTGAGCAAGTGTTTGTTTAACTGCACTGGCCACATACACTTGTGAAAATGCACCTGAACTTGAAGGGTGGAGATTTATGTGTCCTCCGAGCAGGAGTCAGTGTCCTTTTCTGACCCCTTTAGAGGTTTTGGAAAAGATAAGAGGGGACAGTGG